CGCACTGCGGCCGCTGCAGCTCCTCGCGTCCCTCCCTCCCTCCCTCCCTCCCTTCCCCGCCGCGCGCGCCCATGGCGGTCGCCGGCCAGCTGTGCCTGCTCTACCTGTCCGCGGGGCTTCTGGCCCGTCTGGGCGCAGCCTTCAACCTGGACACCCGCGAGGAGAACGTGATCCGGAAATCGGGGGATCCCGGGAGCCTCTTCGGCTTCTCGCTCGCCATGCACTGGCAGCTGAAGCCGGAGGACAAGCGCCTGTGAGTTGCCCGACTCTTCCCACCCCCACCGGGGCGCCGCGCTGCGCCAGGGGGAGCGAGGGCGCGCCCTGCTGCCTCCCGTCCCGCGTGCCCAGAGCCCATCCGCGGGCCAGCCCTGCCCGGCTCTGCCCTGCCCTGCCCTGCCCGGCCCTGCCCTACCCGCCTGCACTTCTCCGGCCCAAGACTTGCGGGGCTGGGCTAGCCGCGCCCTCCGCGCCCCTGCGCTCTGCGCCTCCGAGGAACGCGGAGAGAGCCGTGGGGGAGACCCCAGGCCGGGCCCCGGGAAACTCCGCCCCCCGTTCTCCCCCGAAGTGCTTTCCGCGGTCCTCCTCTCCGGGCATATTTTTGCACAGACCCCGGCAGGTGGCACGCTTTGCTGAGCCTCACGTGTGCGCCAGGGACGGTGGTGGGACGTTGGGTTGCGGGAAGTCTTCAGGGGGACCCAGGCCTTTCTCAAACTCTCCGATCGTCCTGTCCCGCCTGCCTGGCTCGCGCGCCCCGCGGAAGTTGGGAAGCCACTTTCTCGCTGTCCTGTGTGACTCTCTCTTTGCAGAGTGAGCTCTCCTACTTGCACAGGCTTTTTAAAAAGCACCTGTTCCGCAGGACTCGATCAGCTGTGAAAATAAGCTGCTTCTTAAGAGCGGTGTGCTAGCTCCCCCTCCCAGCTCCCTGATCGCTCCGCAACACCCAAGAATCCATGGGTCCCAGTGCCGGGTGGGCCCCACCGAGGAGTTAGACCACGGTGACCCACCCGAGCAGGGACTTAGCAAAGAAGGTTCGGAAGTGACAGTCGTCCTCCACAAGGGCTGCTTCCACGAGAAAGCGACTGCCTCTCCCTTTTAAACAGTGTTGGCTCCCACATGACCCAGTTCTTTTGACTAGGGAAGGTTTCTGGAGCTTAGTTGCCTGAGTCGCAGTGGGGCTGCATTCTTGATCCCTGCTCCCAAAGCTTGATTCTGACGACAAAAGATCCTCCGCCCCCTCCCAGGCCTTGAGTTGAACCCCGGTCCTTCCAGGACCAGCAGAGCGGAGAGAGCAGAGTGCAGTCAAGGGGGAAGGAGAGGCCAATATGGTTTTAAACCGGAGAAGGCCCTGGTTTCAGCTAGTTAACAGGGAAATGTGTGGACTTCAGGATCCTAAGGCCAGGTTTTTCTGATAACACCTGCTAGGTGAAGCAGAGAAATCTACTGCGGGTGTAATGGTTCCAGGCAGGGACGGGGGTCTGAGTTTTGCAGACCAGACCAGCCTCTGCTTTCTCTGGAAAATAATTGCTGGTAAGCTGCAACTCTGAAGTGAAAGTTGGTTTTTTTTTGGTTAGCTCAATGGATGGCATTTCATGTCTCCAAACACTGCGGCAGACACACATTACCCACCTGGAGGACTTGAACTTGTTGGTATAGGAGTGATTGTGGGTTGACAGAGGGAAAAGCATTCATTCGCTTTGGCATTTTCTCTGTATCAGAGGACACAGAGACTGGCTTCCTGGACAGACATGTCCAAGCAGACATTGTAATGGGGAATAAGTGGAGCAAGAAATGTCCTTGGGATGGAGATTGCAAATCGTGCCTTTAGCCAGGAATCTCTGTTGTCATTAAGGCGAAGCAGCCTCGGGCCTGCTGAAACTTGTCACTGCCTCGGGGCTTCTCTGCTATTACAGCTGCTACAGGTCCTCCTGAGACTGAGGAAGACCTGAGACGGATGCCGTCTAAAAACTCCATGTGGCTGATGGAAGGGAGTCGCTGGCCAGACCCTCAGAGGAGTAGAGACCCACTGAAAGGGGTACTGTGTCAAATCCTAGAACCCAAGGGGCAGAAACTGCATCCCAGGAGGCTGTGAGCTGTGTCTAGTACCTCTCACCCTGTCCTGAAGTATCCCGGGGTCAAGAGTAGCAGAGCCCCTCAAAGGAGTCAGCATACACAGCCCATATCACCCTCAGTCTGCTTTTCTGTAAAAGGATGTGGGTGTAGAAGACAGAGCCAGTGAGACTGATGGGACCCTGGGCCCAGCTTCCAACGCCAGTGGGGACATCTCAGGGGACTGTCTGGTGGGTGGGTGGTGGTGGTGGTGGTGGTAGGGGTGTGGACGAAAGCTGAATTTAGGTTTCTTCTTGGCCATTTATGCTGTTAGTCATCTGCTTGAAGGTGTGGTTTCTTCACCTGTAGAGTGGAGATGTTCCTACTTCATTGGGTGGTTGTGAAAATGGAAAGAACATGCAGACTGCTCAGTGTGTTTCCCTGCCCTGGACATGTGCTGGTTAGATGGGAAAAGTGATGGGGATGCATTTAAAAGTAGAAACTGTGGGCCTACTATGTTAGGTGTGGGGTACTAGAGAGCGTTTTGTGATTCTTAGACTGACTCACATTAAAACCGAAGGCTCTTACTTGGGTAATTAAATATCCCAAACTCTTCGATCACCTTTATGAACTCCAGAGCAACGTAGCTTACCTCAGGCTTAGCGTCATTGCAGAAGCAAACTTCCTGAACAGTGACTTTGAAACAGAGGGTTATGTGAGAATATCAGATAAATGCACAGTTACAGAAAACCTGCCGTAAGTTTTTTTTTCCTCCTCTGTAACTTAAACTTTGTATGGTGCCATCTGTATATTCAGAAACACCTTTAGTTAAGATTTTTAGAGGGAATACCACTGTGTCTGAAAGCCGCCAAACACCTTGGGTATTGCTGCTGAGCTTTGGGGGTGCTCGGATTGGATGAGGTGCTTTAAGCATCATCCAGGTCTCGGAGATAAATTACGGTAGACTCCCAGAGGTGATTAAGCAGAGAGCTGAGTGCCTGGGGTTGGGTATGAATCTTTCCTGGGTAGGTGGTTGAGTCACCTCTAGAGGTGGAAGGTACATGTCGAGGACTGGGTAAATCCATCCCGTGACTCACTCAGCTCTTCTGGGAAGGTGTGGATCTGTGTATGCTCCCAAGGCGGAGCCTGGGAAGAGGTGGGCTCCTGGAGAGAGTCCACTTCACGCCTAATCTTCATTTTCTTCTTTTGGGTTGGTCTTTTGGTCATTGGCTCTCCTTGCTATTTTCCAGAAGCTTCCCAGGGCGCCTGTTACTTCTGTTCTCGCTGGGTGTTGGTTGTTGGTTTTGCTCGACTGTATTTTCTGAGCTGGAGGTCATCTAGTCCATTTGTCCCCTTTATAGGTGAAGAAACAGGTTGTGAAGTGTCTTACCCAGAGTCTTAGAGCTGTGTGAGCAGAATCTTAATCAAAACCTGGATTTGAAGGTGGTATTTCTGGCTCGTGTTTATGCTGTCCGTAAGAGGATAAATCAGAGATGTCCTTCAGATGTAGAGAAACTGGCAAGCCGCTGACTTCTGGAAATGCATTCTAGTGTGTTGATTCATTGAATGGCTTCCCATGTAGGTCAGGGCTGTCTATTTAAGTATCAGTACGTGGACTCTCTTCCTATTCACCCTTATTGCAGCTGGCTGTGGACCAGTGGTGTGACCGTCTCTACCAGGGCTCCGAGGATGTGCACCCCAACACTGGCGTCCTTGTAGTCATTCCCTCCAACAGAGTGCCGGGTGGCTCAGGGCCATCTTCTGAGAACTGCTGTGTCACCTTGAGGCCGGAGATTCAGGAGAAGCAACCACAGTAGGGCAAAGAGACGTAGAGGAAATATTGGGAACAATACATCACTGTTTAAGTCTTTACAGTTGGGAAGTACTGGAAGTCTATGGTCTGTGGATTTAAAGACCTGGATTGAACATATTTCTGTGACCAATATGGCTTATGAATTCTGCATCTTAATTAGAGACAGTGGGGCTAAAACAAAAAAAATACTGTTATTTGTTTACCAGGTATGCATGAAACACTGGTTTGTGCTGAGTCAGCCCATCTTAAAAAAAAAAAAAAAAACAGATCCCAAGAAATATCCTACCCTAGAGCAATTTCTTTATCCCTTGAATGTGGGCAGCACATGTCTGGCAGTTCTGAGGTTTAAAGCTTTATTCATCTTCAGGGGATGATGTAATCTCTAACTGGGTTCTAGGCTCTGTGAGGGCAGGGACCTCAGGCTCCTCTTTGCCAGAGAACACCTAGCTACGCCTTCCAGATACAAAGAGGTTTAACTTGTGAAATCAGCTCTTCCCGCTGAAGGTAGAGAGAGGGAGCAATCTGCTTTGCTCAGGGCTTGGGGTCTGCAGTCTCTGGGGAAAGGGAAGCTATAGGCTTGATGCAAAGAAATAGAAAAGTTCTTATTTTCCATTTTAATGGCTAAGGGTTTTCAGGAGTCATCCCCCCCCCCCCAATCACGGTTGTCTTTTGCCCTGAAGGCAGATTTTAGAATTTAACCCCCAAAGACCAGCTGCTCTGAGCTGCTGCAGTGGGTGGGTGCACAGGGTTTTTTGCTAAGTTGCCTGTTGTTTGAGTCTAGGCAGCCAGACAACTAGAATCAACCTCCTGAAAGCACCTGGAGACCAAATGGGAATGCCCATGAGGGCACTTGGGGGTTAATTGTGAGGACAGTGAGTGGTGTTGTGTATGTCTAACTCCTTAGGCGCACTGTTGACTACCTGCTCATCCCTTTAGGGGCCAGAGAATGGGAGTCTTGGGTTGGTTGACACTGACTTCAGGCTCTGGGGAGGACTGAGTGCTGTGAGGGGGAGGCCGCCAGCCCCAGTTGGGTTCAGGTGCAGCCCTAGAATCAGATAACTTCAAACCTGGAAGGCACGTAGGGGCTCTTACATGTCTGTTCATCAGGGTAACTCATGGGGGCTCTTCTTTACAATGCAGTCTTCTGGGATTGTCCCAGATCAATGACATCAATGACCCATAGGTGTGACCCTAGATTCTGCTCCCCCAGAACTCTGGGTTTGCACTAGAGATGCCTCCCTTCTTTATTTGGAGGTAGCTTGTGAAGTAGAGAAGAACAGAGCTTAGGGCTAGCTGGAATCACATGTCCTTGGCTGTGTGTAGGATTTTTAACCTCTGTCCCTTTTCTCTTCTGTAATAATAGCAAGTCTAATCTTGGCCGCCTTAGACCAGTTCTGGCCGGAGGAAACACTCTGTGCTTGTGAAATACACCTGGAAACCCAGGTTGTGAGAGGTGAGCAGGGCCAGTCAGGTGGAGTTGGTCTTTAATTTCACACCTGGGACGAGCGTGCGTCCTTCTTTTCGGCTTTGATTCGGCTAGTGTCGGTGTGTTCATTTTCCTTTTCCTTTCACCCAGTTACCTTTTCCTTCCAGGACCGTTACCTTGTCCTGGACTGTGCATCTCAGAAGAGCCCGATCTTGTAGCTGGGAAGCAGTGAATACATCCTCTTGACGTCCCAGAATTCCTAGGAGATGAGCGGGCAGATGTGTGGGGAGGCCTGAAGGGCTCCGGGCGGCCAGGAGACTGCAGAGAACCCTCGGAGGGTGGATTGGGCAGCAAGAGGGTGGGCTCATTAGGAAGGATTGCCCACCGTCTGAGGGCCAGGACTTGTCAAACCTCTGACTGTGACAGCCCTGTCCTCTATTTGGGGTGGGGATCCTGAACCATTTACACTCTTCCTTGCCAGGGCTGATTTATGTTTCAGAGTCCTTCATTCATCATTAATGTTTGGTAGGAAGGAACTTGTGCAAAAAAATGCATCTAATTGTTGTCATCCCAAGGTTGAGGGATGTGTGGGAAAGTGAGGAAGCAGCATTTTCTGAGATTTGTTTGTTAACCTGGCATTCAGCCTTTAAGCAGTGGTCTCTTAGAACTGACGTCAGAGGCTAATTGTGAATGAGTTACGAACGGGGCCAGGTAGATGGGTCTGGTGTCCAACTCAGTCCCCGGCAGCCTAATTGCAGGATGGGATCACCAGCATTTCATCTGCTGCTGTCTGGCTCTTCTCTTTAGATAAATAAGGCAAGATAAACCACTCAACATGGTGATGCTGTGCTGACG